GGGGGGGGGGGGGGAGGGGGGAGTGCAATGCTGCCGTCTCAATAGACGGCATTGCGGCAAGACCAAAAAAATGATATCTGAATCCTTTCAATCCCCTCCAAAAAGAAACAAGAGAAGAAAGAGTTCAAGTTCCAAGCAGGCAAGATCCAATTCGATCAATTCAATTCGGACCGAAGTCAAGTAAGGAACCTACCAATTAAGCTTCCATCTTTTTGGTTGGTTTGCATGCGTCTGCTCTGCGTCTGCGCCCGCGTCTGGGTCGTGCGTGCATATATGCAGACATGCATGCATGCATGCGGGAAGGTAGGAAAGAAAAAAACGAAAGCGAAGCCATGCTGGGTGTGTGTACGGGCGGTAGGTAACTATATTTTATATTGAAATTTTGCTGCAAGGGGGGTTTGGAATCTTTTTAATTTATCTTTCCAGTGCCACTTTCACTCTCCCCCACCCACCAATATCTAACCGCCCGCAAGATCCCGCTCTCGGCGTACCACACTTTGGTCAGATGTGGTATACTTGTTTAAAAACCAAACAAAAAGTAAATGAAGTTAAAAGTAGTCAAAAAGGCCTGGAACGGGTAAGTAGCTTATAATTTTTTTGGTCAAAATAATTTGTTGGGGCTAACTTAATCACCTTTCCTTTCTAAATTATACAAAAGGAAAGAGGGGGGGGGGGGGGGGAATGCTTCACTGATTGACAAGATGATTTGAGAAGTGAGTGTAAAAGCTAATAATAAGCAGGTACACGGTGTACCTTGTGTACTTAAGAACCCCCAAAAAAAAATCACATGCAAGTGTTTAGTATTATAATAAAACGCACCAAGTTACCGATTTTAAAGTGAGGGGAAAAAAAAGAAGAGACTAAACTGTTCTGGAACACAACAAAAAAACTCAAAATCCCACTCTCCCCCTTTTTTGTTTTTGCCCAACCCATTTTCTCCCCGTGGGGCATGTTGCATCGAATACTCTGGGGGGAAGAAAGAGACTAGAACATAAAAAGACTAGAAGAGACCCAAAAAAAATTAAGAAAAAGAAAAAATAAGCGAAGCCTAAGCTTCGTTAGACTGAAAGAGTTTTAAAAAAAAGGAAATTTGAGAGGAGAGGAGAGGGGAGAGAGAGTGTGTGTGTGTGAGTTTGTTGGGTTTTCGGCCCGTGTTTCCTATCAGTTTATCGTCGGCTTGTCGGACCGGTTAATGCGGCGCGTCGCTAATACTAGATCCTTTTGAGAAAGAAAGGAATCCAAAAATCAGGTCAGGCGATCAATGAAGAAAAAAATGGATGATGGAATGGTTTCAATTTGAGGGGTAATGATTCGGGGAGGGGAAAGAGGGGGATTGATTCTCAAGTTCTTACCACACAGTACTTCACGTCATTCATTTTTTTTTTACGTTTGGGGAAATGATTATCGTTGGGAATGGAAATGATTTGTGTTTTTGAAGAAAAAAAAAGAAGAAGAAGAAAAAGGTCCAGTTGGTTTATTAATTGCAACTTAAGAGTGTTTTTGGTTCTGAACTTCTGATGAGGAATTATGGGATGAGTTGGCTGGAGATTAAAATTGGTTTAGAATATTATAGCCCAGGGCTTCGGATCACGAACTCCTCCAGATTGATCATCAGACCAATGGTCGCAGGGGTTTTGTCTTAATGCTTCGTACATTTAAAACCAAGAGTCAGCCCTCGTGAGCGCCCTGGCGACCTCAAGTTGAGCTAGCTCTACGCGCCCGCGCGCACCCTGTCCTACGGCTGTACCTGCAATTTAATTACACCAAAGAAGATGACTGGCAGTCCCTGTTATTCCCACCAAGACTTTTGTCGAGCCAGTTTCCTGTTGTCGGCTTCTAGGCTCTGATATTCAGGCCCCGTCGAAATACAGGATACCGATGTGGTGCCATGGGTTTCAAAACAATTCTTGTGTCAAAGCGCGTCAATAGGAAATTTGAGTACCTACGTAGCTTACTTGCTAGGTATGCCCCCCATGTGTTGTGGCTAAGGGGCCTAGCATCTGAGCGAAGGGCCTTGGTTACCGCGCGAAAGGACTCCTGCTTTCCCCGGCAAAGAGTCACTCCCGAGCCAATACACTCCTCTGAGCTATAGCTATCAAGATCATCAAGGTTTGGTGTTGCTTAGTTTTCTTGGATCTCTACGTTAGAAACTCCCTTCTTTGTATAACTGAACTATAACAATATTAGAACTTGCTGTGAGAATCCTGTTTTAGTGTAGGCATTTCAATGAATCATTGGGCGATAGCCCTCTTCAATGTTTTGAGTATTTCACTTTATCTCAGAACCTTTGATTTACTAGATCCAGAACTGATCATCATCAAAATCCAAGTGTGTAAATAAGGCAAGCGTCGGAAGTCATCAGACATGCTGTGTGAGGATGGATGCCGCTGATTTTATCTAAACTCGAGGTTAAGTACCATCAGATAAAGGTCGGGAACAAGATAAAAGAACCTCACGGAGGAAATGAAACGATGTCCCCTAGATTAAAGTCCAGTTTGAGTGAAATGCACCCAGTCCAAACATGATAAAGTATATGACAATTTCTGACCGACTTCGGGCAATAATAACAATAAATAGAGGTTGAGATGTGGAATATAGCTGTACACAAAGGATGATGTACCTGATAGCAATGCTCCATGCTTGTATCTGCTCGTATCAGGGTAGGTAGGAGGAGACAGATGCAGCGAGAACAAATCGTGCTCTGGAAAAGGAAACCGCCCGCAAGGGAGAAGTATGACATATCCACCATTGATCAAGTGTGCACAACGCACTACCTATATGACAAACTAGGCATTCCCCACCGGTCTTCTACCTAGCTGCTTCCGGGTTCCTTCAAGTTCTGTTGTTCGCTGTGCCTACAGTCATCTAGCTGGTTGCGAGGCTTAGACCAGGGAGGGATAAGTGGTGATCGAAGATGTTGAAAAGATAAGAACACGCAGTGATCAACAGGGCCTAAATCCTTGGAGAATGCGAGGAGATCAGCAAGCAAATGATTCGAGCTAGTCAAGGTCTCCAGCGATGACTGGGGCAGACAAGCCGGGAACAAAAGAGTCTGTCTCGTTAGATCGTCAGGGTGAACACCCGGATGACTTACGCGCTGATGTCAGGAAGAAAATCCAGAGACTTTTGGATGCTCAGAGGGTATAGTTCCTCAACAAACCAGTGGAATATTCACAGGCAATACAGGCCAAGGAGACCTTGGGCAAGGAACTCATGCGAAAAATGCAAGATATCTTGCCGAATCCAGCCATTCATCCTCGCATCAACCTCTCCTTGATTTTTCTCTGCACCTTTTTACTCCCTTCAGAGAAGGGAGTCTTTAGTTTCCTTATTCGCTACGAGGAGGCAACCAGACTCATCGACCATCAGTTTTGCATAAGAGGTGACCCTCACCCTCGCATCGAGGAACGCCATTTCTGCAGCAAACTCTGGCACGGCATTATCGCAACATTCCCCTTACGGCCTTGGGTAAGTATTGGAACCCGCACCATACCATTTCGTCTCTGTGAAGACTGAGAAGCGGCCTGAGAACGTCCCAGGCTGACATGGTACTTTTCTACTCCAAGTAAGGGTCTCGAACTAGGGACTCGTACCAACGGGATAGTACATACGTATGGAGCCCGCGACCTTGATCAGCGATTACGAGCCTGTGGCGCCAAAATTAGAGGTTGCCTCTTTGCTGAAGTTTCGGTTGATCGTCAGTAAATATGTACCTGATCCTGATAATCACCAGCACACCCGATATCTCCACTAAGATGGTATTAAGACAATTCTAATCTCGTTCCTCCAGGCGGAGAACCACACGAACGTCGAAACCGCGTCACATGCTCGCAAGCCTGAGCTGGGCAGCAAGTATCTTCCTGAGAACCAAGGCCTGGGCTGGTGCAAAAGTCGTGGGGATGCAGACTCTTTGCCAGCGGGATGATACATCCACTGCCAACTTGTCCGCCTTTCCTTCCCTTAGGCCCGCGGAAACCCCAGAATTCACACTTTCAAGACTCTCCATCATAATCATCGATACCGCTGATTTTAACAGAGAGTAGCCGTGGAGGTAGATCGCCCAAGCTCTGCCACCTTCTTCCTTCTCCCGGACGGCTATCACCATCTCCCTCTCCCACCACCATACACCGCAGAATGCACAGATTTTTTTTATCGTTTCCAGCCGTCCCATTCAATCAGAGGTGGTAAAGGCAGTGTCTCAGCCACGGCTGTTAGTATCGAGTATTCAAGCCCACAATAGAGACATTGAAATATCTCGAGAGATGATGCCATATTCTTAATCATTTGGCAATTGCTTTCCCACAGTTTAGCTCGAATATTACCCGCCCCTTCAGGAAAGACCGTTTCTATTTGAGAGTCACTGTGGCACTAACTTTTATCGATCACCACGAAATATTATTACCTACCTATACAAAGCCGCGGTGCGCCTACTAGCCGCTCGTCACATTAGCCCTCTGTTGCATTGGGTAAACGGGGATTCTAGGTAGGGTATTTCAAACCTCACTTTCCTGACTGCTCAATGGTAGCGATCGTAGGCTTCCAATAGGCTTGGAGAGGAGCGAACTGGTCCCTAGTGGACGGATCACACCAACCTGGGCCATGGCGGAGAGCGTGTTTCACCGACCTAACGACGGGCATCGCGCAGTTATCACGTTGACAGGCCTCTGATCAACGAGATACGGCTGCCACAGGAAAGAAAATTAATTCTATATGCTACCCGGGTTCAATGATGCCCAGAATACGCCGCCAAACTGGCTTGGTGTTGTCAGCAAGCTCGAGAGCAATAATGCTCACCACCAGGCTCAGCAAATCAGTCCTGCGTCCCACAAGAAATTTATCTCATCACCGACAGCGAACGGCGTCCAGAGAGCTCCGCTATCAATCTCCAGGGAGTTCTCCTCGAATATAACTTCGTCAAACCAAATACGCAATCATTTCTGACAGACAGCAATTCAACAATCATCAAGAGCTTTTCTGTTAAGGGTCTCCATCAATCAAAAGGCAAGATGGCCGAGCGGTCTAAGGCGCCACGTTAAGGTTCCACCCTTAATAACATCCTCTGGATTCCGTGGTCCGAAAGGGCGTGGGTTCGAATCCCACTCTTGTCATCATCAATTACCCCGAGCTCAGGAGTAATAAACCAACTTTTTGGTGTTTGTTTATTTTTTTCTTCTTCTCGAGTCCTTGTTCCTTTTGCATTACATTCATTCATCGTTGCTGTTGGCTGGCGAGTGCTGTTGCTGCTCGGGTAGCACAGCAAAGGTTGTGCCTGGAGCTCTTTTTGTGGGGATGATTGAATGATTGGGGCCCGCGGGGCAAAGCAGTCAAGGTTGAAAGCCCCTTTAAGCATTTGTGATGCAGCTATTCAGATCTAGTAGGACGTTGTCTGCTTGAATAGTATTTCTGAATGCCCGTTTATGACGCAAGGTTAGCTGTGATCGCAAGAGGTGTCAACCTGCAAAGTGTGTCATGACTCCGCTTCCAAGCTTGTAAGGTCACCAAACCACGGTTCGCTCTTCCAGAAGACACCCAAGATCTTTCCTGGAACAAATATGCAAATTTTATCCAGTAGTTGCAGCGTGAGGGTCTCACTTTATTCTTGATGAGACACACCCACACACAATACTATGATGGCCCATGAACGTGGAATCCACGACTGATATTTTGATAACACTATGGTTTCACCGGAGAAATTTTTGACGGTGCGATAGGTTAAATGTCTACATCATATCTCCTTTTGGTGTTGTTCATGGGTTATCCTGTGTCGAACCTTGAACCCTTTTGGAAACCAATCGTGCTCTTAGTGATATCAACATCTCGGAATATAAGTCCAGAACCAAAAAAAAAAAAAAAAAAGTTAAACATGAAAAAGCCTAAAGTACCAGAAATAAGGATGGCATCCTTAAACTGGTTCCATTTCCAGCTGATCATTTGTGGCAATCGAGACGGAGTCGCTGAAAATGAACAGAAAACATTGTCGACATTGCAGTACCATGGCCTAGGTAGTTATATCAATTGCGAAAGCTTGAAAATTTCCTTCCACAACAATTTGTCAGGAATGAGCAAACGTGACAGCTAGCAAGCTACTTAAAAGAAAGGGAAAGTTCAAATAAATCAAAAACCAAGATAAACCCAACTTGTGCAGACCAGTAAAACTGAACAGCTACTTAAAGTGACTAACTTAACCGCCACATAAAAATATAAGAAAAATGAGTACTTTAAAACAGTTTATAAGTAAAAAGATTCTTCCCCTAAAGTCCTTAAAAGTTATTGTATAATCTTAGAGTTTTTATCCAGAAAAAAAAAAAAAAGTGATGATGAATATCAAAACAAAAATAAATTCAAGTCTACTATTTTCCTCGGCGAGTTTATTATTCTTTTTTCAATATAATTTTTTATCCATTTGATTCCCTTGAAAATCCGCCAATGGCGAGACGACAGACAGGCTTTCGAACTGTGAAACAATCAGATTTATTTTTGTCAGCCAAGGGATGGAGTTCTTTTTTTTTTTTTTTTTTTTTTTTTTTTAGGAGCAACAACAATGGAAGTAGGAGTAAGTAGTCTAATTAATAGTAAAAATTTGTTCGCCTCCGTCCATAAAAAAAAAAAATCCCAAAAAAATCTGACGCGCGCGCTAATTAAATCAATTTTGCGCCACAACAAGGGCTTTGAATTTTTGAGTAATAAAATATCCCCATATCGGATAAGGGGATGATGGATTTTTGACAATTATTATCCACACCAAAAAAGGACGGATTAAAAATTTAAACTACGCAAAGATGGTCGGTCCTCTACAAAAAAAAAAAAAAAAAAAAACTTTGCGTTGGGAATTTTTTTTTTTTTTTAATGAGAATGCACCATAATCATGATATCCATTCAAGTCTTTTTTTTTTTTTTTTGTAAGCGTTCTATTTTTTATTTTATTTTATTTTTTTAGAAGAGGGAGAGGGTGGTGTGGTGTGTCTGTGTGCATAATTTTTTATGTGCAGCGTGTGTGACAATTGCAGGTTTTCTGAGCTCGTACGGGGGATGTTTTCAAGTGTTTTTTTTTTTTTTTTTTTTTTAAATCGTAGAAACTGTATTTTACGCCGCAGCGTTGCACGCACATTAATTAGGGTACTTCCAGGTTGCATGCCAACTATAAAAAGCTGCATTCCAAAGTCCCTGCATTTTTTTTGGTTATTATTCCATAACCGCGGAATTAAATCCAAAATTTTTTTTTTCCAAAAAAAAAAAAAAAAAAAAAAAAAAAAAATTAGAAAACATTCCGAAAAGGGGACCAAAAAGAAGCATTGAAAAGATTCCAGTTGTTGTTGCACTCAATCACTGGCTCAATCACTATCCTCACTTAACTGAGGAGAAAAAAAAAGTTTGTGAATTGATTAAAAGTGAGCGAGTTGATTTTGTTTTAGCGTTTTTTTTTTGGGGGGGGGGGGTGGTTTCGAGTGAAAAAAAAAATCGTCCGAGGCTGACGAGATTTTTGTTGATTAATTAAATTAATAAAATAATAATGATCACAAATATAAAAAATAAAACCAAAATCGTGTGATTTTGTTTTCTTTTTTTCGGTTTTTTTTTGGGGGGAGGGGGGGGGTTTCCCAAAAACATGTAGAAGATATTACAGTGGGGAAGTTTAGAAAAAAAATCGGCATTCGGAAAATTCCCCCCCAAAACAAGAATCCTTCCTTTTGGGAAGGGGGGAGCCTGGGGGAAACCAACCAACCAAACAACCTATACTACCGAGCTTACCTTACCTTAACTTTTTGTTGGACCCTGCAGAATGTCAAATGCAAGCCCTGAAAGCGGGGAGGGCGGGTGCCGTAAAACAGAGGGATGGTAGACGGGAGAGGGGAGAGGGGAGAGGGGAGAGGGGGAGAACCAAGGCGGGAGGGGGAAAGCTTCGGATCTCCCGCACCCGGAAGCTAAAATAATCAAGTAACTATAATGCACTAGATGGGAAATGCCCAAAGTTTGACGGAGAGTTTTCCAAGGTTGTGATTGATGGCATAACGCTGTTCTGCCCACACGCCTCATCATCTGTGCATGTTTTTGCTCATCTTGTCTCTTGTCTCGGCTGCCGCCCGGCAGTGTCCATCAACCACTGACGTCAGTCAGGGGTTGCTTACACAGCAGCAGGCAACACACGCAACGGGTGGCTGGAATGCTTGCGACTGCATTGATGTGCAATCTGACAGCTTGACATCACAGCTTGGCACCTCAACCGCGCGTGGATATTCATCTGGGCCTTTTATGGCTTAAACTTGTTCTGTTTTGATCCTGAAGGTAACTTTGTCTTTATAAACAACAATATAATAATAACAAAACACTTTGAGGTGGCAATGTGCTGGCTGGTACGGGCAATTGAACCGACTGACCGCCTGAAAGCTGACCCCGTCGCTTCCCAATAATAACAAAACCCAGCTTACCGGGATCCCCCACGGGTCCAGATCCCTAATGCACAAACCAATTTTTTTGTCTTTCCTCGTAAACATCCAGCTGAGTCCCGAATCCCGGGATATTTGAAGACGATGGTGGTGATAAAAAGCAACAGACGAAAAACTCCAAAATCCTGTAATGACCCAATCCCTCCGCCCCAAACCCCATGCCCAATGCCCCGTAACATATCAATAATAAAAAAAAAAAAAGGGTAATCCTCATCAAATATGAGAAAACTCATCCTCTTCAAAGCCCTCGCATATCGGTCTCCGACATGGGTCGATACACCTGTACTCTATATCGCAGCACCAAAAGGTCTCCCCCCATCTCTCGATTCAGACGACGAATCCGCGGCTCGAAATCGTTGAAAAAAATAAAATAAAAAACACTTGCGGGCGTCCTGGGTATCATTGATGTTGGTTAAAGCGACGATTTCATTGCTGGCCCTGGTTGTGTAAAATAAATAATGGTGACGAACTCGTAAATCGGTCGAGGACGGATAGACTGGTCAAGTGGTTCGTCGTCCTGGTTCCGGAGCTCTGCACGCCTCTTCTTCACTTCTTCACCCTGCTGCTGGGGGCGGTGATCTTGCTCGTCGTCATGAGATCTCCGATATATTTTTGCAAAAACTTGTTGTGACTGTCAAGCTTGTCGTGTTCTTCCTTGACTGCCTCAATTCGGTTGAACAAGACGACGAGGGACTCCTGTAGAGCCTTGGCGTGTCTACAATCAAACAGTGTCAGCGTTTCCAATCCAGTTATTTGAGCGGGAAAATGCATGCTCACTTTTCCAATTCATCCCTTGCTTCCTTGCCGAGTGATTCAATATCCTCGCTCGACCTCCGGGGACTCATTGCGCGCGCCTCGTCCAGCTCGATCTCCAAATCCGCCGCTTCTGCATCCCGAGATATGATCATTGTGCCGCTGCTTTTTCGACTCGGTAGACGCGGTCGTGCGGCAACTGGTGCTTGAATTGAACCTTCGATCGACTTGTTGGATGAGGAATCCGACCAGTCTGGGCATCGAACCTTGTCCGGAGTCATGTCGCCCATTTTTTGGGGGGTTTTTTGTTAAAATGAATATGTGGATTATCGAGATTTCGTACGAGGCACAACGTCGTGTTTAAACACTGCTCCTCCTTCTCCGTCACTCAGCTACCTTGCTATCGCGACCATTCGCCAGGCTCGAAGGCTCAATGTCGAGGTGGAGTGGTGTCGGATAGTTGAGCGTTGGGTACACTTCGAAGGGGGGGGGGGGGCGAAAGGCGTGGGGTGTTGAAGTGGGAGAAAAAAGAAGGAAAGTCGCGGTGTAAAAAGTTGAAATGAAGAAATCTGAGGGGTGCTTTTGGAAAGGCTCCTCAGGTTGCGTCCCGTGGGCCGTAGGCGGCGAATAGTGTTGGTGGGTCGTTCAGTCTGGGATCTTGGCTCCTAAAATGTGGGTATCGTGGAACCCCGTATCAAGAAAGGACAGGGAGCGCCAGGCAAATTTTTTTTTTGTTAAAAAAAAAAACGCAGGAGCTCGCTGGAGAAAAGGTCAACGTGGTTCGACAACCGCTGGGACGCGAATCCAGCCAGAAATGAGCTGTCCGGAAGCAGTGGAAGAAACGGATCGGCGGAAAAGTCCGTGGAGCCACGGTTGATCAAAAAAGAGCCGTTTGATGGAAGAAGTGTGGA